CTCTTTCTAAAATTTATCCTCAAGCCCGACATAAGCTCAAACCATTTTAAGACGTCCTTCACCATACGTATGTTCTCAGCATCTGCTCTACCCATAATAATTGTATCGTCCGCAAACTGGAGTAAAGACACGGACATCCCTTTCTTTCCAACCTCAATCCCATGTAACATTCCCTCCGTTACTGCTCTCTGAACTAAGCCTTGTAACCCCTCTGCAATCAACAAAAAGAGGAAAGGAGATAAAGGATCACCTTGTCGCAATCCTTTACCTACCTCAAATTCCCTTGTCGGGCTCCCATTTACTAGAACCGAAATTCTCGCTGTTGAAAGACATTCTGTAATCCAACCTCTCCATTTCGTTCCAAAGCCACATCTCTCCATCATCCAATCCAAGAAGGACCAGTCTACACAATCGTATGCCTTTTCAAAATCTGCCTTAAACACAAAAGCTGGTTTTTTCCTCTTCTTCACCTCATCCACTACTTCATTCAACACCAAAACACTATCCACCAACTGACGGCCCCCCACAAAAGCAGATTGGGTGTCACTTACTAATTCTGATATCACAGATTTCAATCTATTAGCCAGCACCTTCGCTAATAACTTATAGACACAACCGATCAAGCTTATGGGTCTAAAATCCTTTAGTTCAACAGCATTCAATTTCTTTGGTATTAAAGCTATAAAAGAAGAGTTCAGTCCCCTAACCAATTTACCATTCCGATGGAATTCAGAGAAAAAATTGATGAAGTCCTCCTTTATGCAGTGCCACGCGAATTTGAGAAAGTTGAAGTTGAAACCATCCGGCCCCGGTGCCTTTGAACCATCACAGCTCCTCAAGCCTTCCTCAATTTCTTCAACCGAGAATGGTCTTTCAAGCCATTCTTTTTTCTCCTCCGAGATCTGCTGAAAATTAAGCTCCCCAGGCTTGGGTCTATTCCATGAGTCTCCTTGAAAACACTTACTAAAATATTTGGCAACCTCATTTTTAACTGCATCTGGCTCTTCACACCACCCCCCCTCACTCATTACGCCTACTATGTTATTGTGCGCTCTTCTCCCGATAGCAACTCTATGGAAGAAGCGGGTATTCGCATCACCCTCACGCACCCATTTATCCCTTGACTTCTGCTTCCAGATAAGTTCCCTCTTTCTTATACAATCCCACATCTCAGAGAAGCCTTCTTGCCTTTTAACTATCTCAGCTTCTTCTAAATCTGATACCTCATTCTGCATGTCAACTTGCTCTACCTTTTTCACGGCCTGCCCATACAGAGCTTCCATGTTCCCAAATACTTCCTTGTTCCATCCCTTTAAAAACTCCTTTAATAGCTTTAACTTTTGCTGGCATTTATACCCTGCAAACCCCTCCACCTCCATCTCGCTCCATTTTTCTTCAACAACCTTTTTGAATTCTGGGTGTTGTTGCCAAGCATCTAGAACCCGAAAAGGCCTAGGACCCCAATCTGTTGTTCTGGACTTCAACACAACAGCACAGTGATCAGAGATATTCCTCGGCAATGCTTGTTGTATCCACTCTCCTTCCATGTTACTCATCTCAGTACTTAACAGGAACCTGTTCAGTCTGCTTCTTGCTGTGCCATCTGGTTTATACCAAGTATACCTTCTATTTGTCAATTTAACATCAACCAAATCTGTTGCCACAATGAACTCATCAAAGTCTTTCATACCCGGACTCTCCCTTAATTTTCCTCGTCTCTCCTCAGGACCTCTAACAGCATTAAAATCCCCTGCTATCAACCAATAACCTTCCTTGTCTGTTTTCATCTTCCTTAATTCCTCCCACAACTTAGCCCTCTTTTGTCTATCATTTGGGCCATACACATTAACAAGAAAGCACTGTTGTTTACTTATTCCCCATTCCCCTGATATTCCCACAAAGCCGTCACCAATTAACTCTTCCCTCTTAACAAAGTGCCTCCTATCCCATAGACACAGTAAACCCCCTGAAGCTCCAGAAGAGTCCTTTGCAACCCAATCAAACTCATCAGAATTCCACAACTGTCTACAAGTATCAACATCCATCCTTTCTAATTTTGTTTCCTGCAAGAACAAGAAATCGGGCCTCTCTTCTTTAACCATCTTTTTCACCTCCTTCCTTTTCAATATCCCACCCAGTCCCCTTACATTAAAAGATATAAACTTCATAATCACTTCTAATCACACACCGCCTCTAATCACCTCCAGCCTACCTCCCCGACTCGTCTCTTCTTCCTTCTACGAGCCGATCCTCTGCCTCCAATAATTTAGCCTGAATCTCCTCCTCATTATTATCAAATTGAAAACCTAACCTCTTCCCCACTCTCATCATCCGACGCACCTCAAGGAGACTCATCTCTCTCTGCAACACCCTATTTCTATTTTCAATGCACTCATCCGAAATAGATTCAATTCCAGCGATGCATACCTTGTCATCCCCGGCTTGCCTATCGCCCCTTCTCCTTGCCTGTCTCTGTTTGATCTGGGTGTCACCCACGGTGTCCCTTTCGCCCAGATCTCCTCCATGGTTTCTGGGTAGCACTCTTGAAGAGGCCTCTGCTTTTTGCCCTCTGTTTTTTGCCCCGATTTCTGCAATGCCGGTGTATCCATTGTTCCTTTATTATTTAATCTCATGCTCATTTCCTTTAGCTGCCCCTGGTCCATTTTTTCAGCAGGCCCATCGTTAGTTACTGGCCCAACACAACACAGCCTTTGAGGCCCATTATCCTGTGTAAGCCCGTGCCCTTCATTCCCCTCCAAAGCCATCCCTGTTTCAATTTTTCCACAACTCTCATTTTTCGCTAACGGCTTTGAATTCGAATTTAAATCCAAATCCTTCATTAATTGCTCTGAATCAGTACTCATTTCATCGCCGTCGCCAATCCCATCCGTATCCAACTCAGGATCCACATTCTGACTCCACGCTACTGAATATTCAGACTCCGTTTCCAGGTCACTTTTCCGGTCATTCTCTGACAACCACCAATCCGGATCAGAGCGCCACTCCTCTTCGACTATCTCTATCTCATACACCTGCTCTTCCACTCTCAGCTTTGTTCGTTTTGATATCTTGCTAGAATCTGGACATAAAATCAAAACTCTCCCATCCCATAAGATTGATTTCTTCTTTGTATCATCATGAATCATTAATACTTCTCCTATTGTCTCACCTATCATTCGGAAACACCTCTCACTCCATGCCTTTAGAGGCACTCCCGCTATTCTCAACCACACCATTCTACTTTTCTCCTCTGTTGCCTTCTCCCACGGTTTTAACGACTCAAACCACAATCCACACAACTCCTCATTAAGCTTCATATACTCAGCTAGGTACCCTTTGACTCTTTCCGTTAATAACAAACGTTTTCCCCCGATTGGTGCTAATGAGATTGAGCCTCCATCAACATCCAATTGCTCCTGAATCTCTGATACCGTGGCCATCGATCTCACCTCTGCCACCATGCCTCCCTCCAGCCATTGCATCTCCTCGCCTGTTGGGATGAATTCCATAGTCTCCTCTCCTTTTTCCACTATCTTATTCTCCTGGGCCCTTGTTGAAACACCTTCCTTATCTGGAGTTGCTTCTTCATTTCTTTCCTGCAGATTAACTGGTGCCTTTTCTGTCCTCTTTCCCTGCCCCTTCACTGCTTGAGCGTATGAGTGCCCTGGTTGGATCAGCCTATTCATGTTCACCGTTGATCCACTATCCTTTACTTCACCTTGTATCTTCCTGGACATTGATGGTTTCCGTTGCTGATCATTTGCAATCTTCACTCTGATCTTGTACGAGCCAATCCAGATGCCGTTCAGCCTCCTTTCCATCTGCATCTCATTATTGACCCCTATCATCCTCACAAATCCAAACCTCTTCCCTCGCTTGTCACGTTTTCTCGGAAGATACACATCAACAACCTTCCCATACATCTGAAAACTGTTCCATAAGAATTTTGCCTCCAATTCCTCTGGAAAATTATAAAAGAAGAAAGTCGTTGACCAGCCGGAAAACTGATTGTTGTAACCTGCTTCACTGTTTCTGTGCCGTTGCCGCTGTCTGTAGCCTTGCCGCTGTCTGTGGCCACCGTCTTTCCCAGCTGCCGCTCCCCTTGCTGTAACCCGCGTACTCTCCATTGGATATCTAACTCTAAATTTATTACATGCAACTTTATCACCAAAACACATATATAGTTGATGATTAATTATTATTATTATTTTTGGCAGTAAATCAAGATGAATTTATATTACTAAGACACATATATAAGAGATGCTCCATGACAAAATAATACAATCTTCAACGAAGTCCCAAAACAGCAACTAACAAGTTAACAACCCAAGAAAACAATCCAAAAAAAATCTGCTCAAAACAGCCAAGAACAATTAAATCAAATAATGGCTTTCTTTTGTATCCTATAACCTTTCAAACATCTTCTAAATTGAGCAATGGCTGCCACACACTCCATAGGCTTGATACCCAAACATGATATGAAAACAAACAATCCAGCTCTTTATTTTTATTCCATAAAAAAGATTTTGCTTGTATATAAAATCCAACACTAAATTCTCAGAAATCAAACCATTCCCCAATGCCTTTGAATTCCTCCAAAATCAAAGATACCAAGTAACAACCAAAAATAATAGTGCATCTACATCCTGCACTCGTCCCCCATGTATATATGATGCAGGAGCATAAAGTGTTTTTTTTTTTTAATTATTTGTTTTAGTTTGAGTTTTATTTGGAGTCTAAGTTTTAATTTTAGGGAAGTCATGTGGATAGCATGTGATTTCTGATTAGGACTAGAATTAGTAGCTTATTAGAAATTCAAATTAGTATTGAATTAGGATTCTTCGCTACTGTTAGTATATATAGTTATCCTTAGATCTCTAAATCAGTTTTTTGTTATGAAAATTTAGTTTGAGAATAAACTTGAGTTGAAAACCTAAGTTTTCTTGGTTCCATCTTTAATTTTACGGAGTTATTAGTTTCTGTTTGTTCTACCCCTACCTTCCCTGCATCAATATACCATGCAACACAAACTCCACCATCCCCAAAACATCATTTGACAACACCACCA